GCGGGGGATGCCTCTGTGGGGCTGGTTTCTGGGGGCCAGAGCAGGAGGGAGAAGCATTGTACAACTTCTGAGGTTCCTGCCACCTCCAAATGAGCCTCGCAGTGTGCTGGCTCAGTGGTCACCCCAGACACATCTAAACGACTGCACAGGCACACTGATAAAATTACCTCCCTTCCTCCAGGGGACAGCCCGGTTTAAGGTCACATGACCCCACTTCTGCTTAGAATCCGCCCTAGTTAACTAGGGCCTTGAAAAGAAAGCCATCTCTGAGTTCTATCCCCAAGGTACCAGGTCTGAGCCCAGGCTGGAGCAGCCATGTGCTCTGGCTCTATCCGACCAGTTGTCCCCACTTTGGGGACAGGTTAGTGTCCCTCCCTCCTCAACTGGACTGTGTACTTAGGGAAGGTGGGTTAGGGCTGTTGTGGTCATAGCCATGTCCCCTGTCACAGACTAGAGACATAAAAGGAAGGGAAGAAAAAAACAAAATTTTTTTTTTTTTTTTTTTTTTTTTGGTTTTTCAAGACAGGGTTTCTCTGTGGAGCCCAGACTGTCATGGAACTCACAGAGATCCACCTGCCTCTGCCTGCCAAGTGCTGGGATCAAAGGTGTGTGCCACCACTGCCCGACTAAAAACCAACTCTTAAAAGAAAAAAATAACCCTTGCTAGCCCAGAGTAAGTATAAACAACCCCTACACCTTGCTCTTAGAAAAATATTCACACACACATGACCCATCTCCTCAAACTCAGCCACTCACTCACTTGTTCAGAGTACTGACCAAGGTCCTGTAGGTAACCAGGCCCATGGTTCTCGATATTCCTAACACTGTGACCCATTTTTTTTTAAAAGATTTTATTTATTATGTATACAACATTCTGCTTCCATGTATATCTGCACACCAGAAGAGGGTACCAGGTCTCATTACAGATGGTTGTGAGGCACCTTGTGGTTGCTGGGATTGAACTCAGGACCTCTGGAAGAGCAGTCAGTGCTCTTAACCTCTGAGCCATCTCTCCAGCCCCGAGACAGGGTTTCTTTGTGTAGCTTTGGAGCCTATCCTGGCACTTGCTCTGAAGACCAGGCTGTATTTTTGGTTTTTTGAGACAGGGTTTCTCTGTGGCTTTGGAGGCTATCCTGGAACTAGGTCTTGTAGCCCGGGCTGGTCTCGAACTCACAGAGATCCGCCTGCCTCTGCCTCCCGAGTGCTGGGATTAAAGGCAACACCCGGCCAGTTTATACAGTTCCTCATGTTGTGGTGACCCCAACCATGACATTATTTTCCTTGCTTCTTGATAACCATAACTTTGATATGGTTATGAATTTAATGTAAATATCTGTGTTTCCTGATGGTTTAAGTGAGCCCTGTGAAAGGGTCATTTAACAACCCTCCTGCAAAGGGATTGCGACCCTCAGGTTGAGAACCACTGGCTTTTGCGGACAGCATCCTGGGCAAGGCATGAACATATCCAGCCCCCACAATGCCCAGGGGTCCAGACAGCCTAATAGCAGTCACTCCTTCCAGGCCACATGTGAGCCAAGCCCCACCTAGAGCGGAGTGACCCCTGTCACATAGCTTGACTACCTTGGTCATGTATTAACTAAGCCCACTCCCTAGCAGTGTGCGATTTCTCCTGTCCAGAAGAAACTTTAAAGTACAACTTTGCTCTCCTACCTCATTCTGAGGTGGCCTTAGAGTTGCCTTACCCCCCCCCCAAAAAAAGGTCAACGTTAAGAAAACCCTTTCCAGGCTGGAGAGATGGCTCAGAGGTTAAGATCACCGACTGCTCTTCC